TTTGGTGCAGGACAGAAACAAATATTCAGTCTCTTGCAATGACCCAGAGCCATTTTCTCCTCTCCTGTAAGGCACACCAAGGCAGGAGCAGCTAAAAGGTATGGCACGGAGGTCCCAGAGACGGAGGTCTTCCTGCAGCAAGAAGGGAGCCAGAGCGGCTCGCTGCTGAGGGCCATCTGGCAGATGTTCCGTTCCACCTTCCTCCTGGGGACCCTGAGCCTTGTCATCTCTGATGTCTTCAGGTTTGCTGTCCCCAAGCTCCTCAGGTGGGTCCAGACCTTGGGTGCCTTGCTAAGGCTGGTGGTCCTTTCCTTAATGGTGTCTTTCCAGAGTCAAGGGGCACCAGCTCTCTTTCTTCCTCTTCCTAGTCCTCCGGTGCCCGGGGCACTGGAGAGTGGGTGAAAAGGATACTGAGGAAGGGACAAAAGTACGGAGAAATTGACTAGCCTCAGGGAGAGAAGATGAATGAACTCAACCCTGACTGTATCAGTTAGCTTTTGCCGTATAACAAAACAACCCAAAAGCGAGGGGCTTACCACCACTTCCTTAGCGCGTGATAATGTGGGTCAGCAGTTGGGGCTGGGCTCGGCTGGGCAGTTCTTCCGTCAGCTGGGTTCCCCCGTGTGTCTGTGCTCAGCCGTGTGTGAAGCTGGCCGGGGGCTGGCTGGTCGGAGACGGTCTCAGCTGGGACAGCGTGTCTCTGCTCCATGCGATCTTTCATGGCCCACAGTGCTAGCTCCGGCTTGTTCACATGGCCATCTGGCAGGGCTTAAAGACCCAGAGCAAAAGGGCCACTTTCTCTTGAGGCCTCGGGCTGGGGGCTGGCACAGTTTTACCTGCACTGTTTTCTGGGCCAAAGCTGGTTGCACGGCCAGCCCAGATTCAGGGGATAGTCGATTTGTGTGCTGTGGCTACCATGACAGTATTACAGGCTGGGTGGCTGAGACAACAGAAATCCATGTTCGCACAGTGCTGGCAACGAGCGGTCCAAGATCAAGACGGATTTTATGAGGCCTCTCTCTTGGACGCGCTGTGTCCTCACGTGGTCTTTCTTCTGTGTGTGTGTGTGCCCATAGTATCTCCTTGTGTGTGCAAGTTTGCTCTTAGAAGGACACCAATCAAATGGGATTACGGTTCCACCCTCATGGCCTTATTTTAACTAAATTTCCCCTTGAAAGGCCCGATCTCCAAATACAGACGCATTCTAAAGTACCGGGAATTAGGATTTAACATAGGTATTTGGTGGGGGCACAACTCAGCCCATAACACGTGGAGACAAAATACTCCCCTCCAGGTCAAAGGAGCAGCAATCACATTGAAAATGAATGTGCAGGGGGTGCCTGGGTGGCTAGTCAGTTAAGCTAAGTCTGACGTCGGCTCAGGTCACGACCTTGCGGTTTGTGAGTTCGAGCCCCGCGTCGGGCTCTGTGCTGACCACTCGGAGCCTGGAGCCTGCTTCGGATTCTGTGTCTCCCTCTTTCTCTGCCTCTCCCCTGCTTGCTCTCTCTCTCTCTCTCTCTGTCTCTCTCTCTGCCCCATCCTTGCTCATGTGCTTGTACTCTCTCTTTCTCTCTCAAATTAAATAAACTTAAAAAAAAAAAGAAAATGAGTGTGGACAGTGGGAGAAATAACTTGCATTTTTGCAAAAATATCTACCACTCTGTCTGATCCTCTCAGGCAAAAGGAACAACCATGGATGCCTTCTCTTACCGCTCGTACTCTCCCTCTCTCGAAAGCCTTTTTCTGGAGTTTATTGGTAATCCCACGACCCCGGCCTGGAAAGGGTATCTCCTCGCGGTGCTGATGTTCCTCTCTGCCTTCCTGCAATCAGTATGGGAGCAGCAGTACATGTACAGACTCAAGGTGCTGCAGATGAGGCTGCGAGCTGCCATTACTGGCCTGGTGTACAGGAAGGTGAGCCCTGGGCGAGAGGTGCGGGTCTTTCCCGTCTCCCCATCTCTTCCGAATTTATATGAAACATTCTAGCCCAAAAGGGTCACATCATATCATCTGTGCCTGAAAATGCCCTCATTCATTACTTTACTACACTCTCACCTTCTTGGTTATTTCCATAAGACCTTGAGTGATGTGACCCTGGCACCTCTCCAACTCTATAACAACACACACCTGCTCTCTTGCTCAACCCACTCCAGCCACAAACATACCAGGCAACCTCCGACCTCAGGACCTTTGCGCTTGCTGTTGCCACTACCTGGACACCCTTCCATTTCTTTTCATGTACTTTCCACTCATCCCCCATGAGGATAAAGGGCTAATCTTGGGGCTGTGTGGAAACCAGATGGAGGTAGACTATCAGCTACATCCCCAGGCAACGCTGTTTATGGTAAAAATGACTCCTGACCCATTGGTAAATTCATCTGGGCTGAAAGTTCTGTCGGTGGAGCATGAGTACCTGATGGGAAGCCATAGCTTGGAGCTTCTTTTCCTGCTCTTGTCCCCTTGGGAGCCCTGGGACTGGAGCTCACAAGACTATCTGCCGTAAGACTATCGGACTCTCTGGCTCCCGTGGGGTCTGGAGCCCCTGAGCCTGGGCCACCCAGTCCCCGCGAGTCTCCTGTCACGCCCACGCTGTCCCCTGGGGGAGAACCGGGGCAAAGGGAACAGCCCCTGGACGGCTGTGTGGATGGCTCCCCTGACCGCGTGGCTGCTGTGTCTTAGACCCGGGCAAGCTCCGGGTCAGTGTGGCCCGTCTGGTCTTGTGAATCCACGTGCCGAGCTGAGGCTTGAGGCTGTTGCTCTCCCGTGCCCACCCTTAGGGGAGCCCTGCCCATCTCCTCAGAGGTCAGCCCCCGGCTCCCCGCGCTGCTCTGCCTCCCCGTTAACCGTGTCTGCTTATTTTCCGGACCTGGTACGTAGACAGGGCTAGCCAATTTCTAGACGTAGGAAATGACTCGCCAGGAGCATCCCTTTCATGCCAGCTACCCAGTCCAGAGCCCACACTCCCGATCGCCCCCTGATGGGGCTCTCGACACTCTGGGCCCCCACGCGCCTGCCCCAGTCACCCCAGGGCCAGGTGCTGGACGAGGGACAGCTCCTGTGCCCCAGAGCCCACCAAAATTATTCAAGCTAGCCAACCCTGCTTCCCCTCACCGACCCTTCCTCCCTGTGAACACCACAATTAAGGCCCCACAGTCCACCTTGCTAATAGGCAATAATAGTAATTATTATTATTATTGTTACTGAATAATATTATCTTAAAACATTGCTTCATCACATGCCTCATAACTGCCATTAAAGAAGGAACTATGTAAGTTGTGATTCAATTTTCCTCCCCAGTTCAAACTCTGCTGTGGGAGAGCAAGCCCCCTGCCTCTGTCTTCTCGGTACTCCGTTCACTGTGAGGCCCACACTAGGTACTCGATAAAGACTGGAATATTCTTCTGGAGATTTTCTACTCAGTCCTTCCTGGCTCACTCATTTACCGCCTTACTTCTTCCCTCACACACTCAGCAGACACGATGGCAAATAGAGCTTAGCATTCAACAGGCTGGAAGGGGTCCACTGTGACCCCAGGGCCCACATCTGGGGCTGCCAGAGAACCAGGTCTGGTGTGTGAGGGGCACCGTGTAGATGCCTTCAGGGAATTGATCTAACACCCTGTCTAGCTCCTGTCTCGCCTTGGTCATCCTAGATTCCAAGCTTGGCCTAGCCTTTTAGAAGGGCCTTCAACTTTGGGTAAGTTGGTCAACTTCTCTGTGCCTCAGTTTCCTTGGCTGTAAAGTGGGGTTAGCAATTCTGCACTTCATTGATCCCAGTCTCACTTTTTTTTTTTAACCCTTCTGAAATCAAGATGTATATCATGTGTCTTAATTTAATCGCATTTACTTTTTTTGCCCTTAGTGACACAAAACCAGAGCGTTTCGTCCATAGCATTGTAGACTGAATGAGATATGGCAGCACCTACTCCATCTGGTTGTGGGTTGGGCCCCATCACAGAAAACGGTGACCCTGTTCATTTAGCACAGTGCCTGGGGCATGGTTGGAATTCAGGAAACGATCCCCAGTATCATCATGAACCCAAGGGTTTTATATATTGTGCTACTAACTTGCCACAACAGTGTTTTAGGGATGTCAGAGGATTTTTTTCTTTGGTCATCTCTCCAAATTCTCATGACGGCCCTGGGAGGTTGGCTCAGGAGATTCACTAGCCCGCTTTACAGACGAGTGAACTGAGGCTAGATAGGGAAGAGACCTGCCTCTGCCAGCAAGGGCAGACCAGCTTAGACCCCAGACCGGCCAGGTGGCTGTGCTCTTGCTCCGTCCGTGCTTTGGGCCTCCCTGCCCTCCTCCACCCCACTCGTCCCGTCCTTCCCTCTGGCTCAGGTCTCCATCCTCCCGCCCCGCCCAGGTCCTGGTCCTGTCCAGCGCCTCCAGAAAAGCCAGCACGGTGGGTGACGTGGTCAACCTGGTGTCCGTGGACGTGCAGCGGCTGACCGAGAGCGTCATCTACCTTAACGGGCTGTGGCTGCCGATTATCTGGATGATCATCTGCTTCGCCTACCTCTGGCAGGTGTGCCACAGTTCACAGGCCCCCGGCAGGTGTATCAGCGGCATAGCGACAGTGAGCGAGCACAGAGTGGTCCCAAGTACCATCCAGTGGGTGTCGTCACGGTGACTGTAGATCTACGCCTACTGCCCCTACCCTACGGGACACGGGGCCAGCACCCTTTCTGACTGGCCGCCTTGTAGCCAGGGCCCAGCATGCAGTGGGCACACGTAGGAAGAGGGAGGGGGACGAAGGACTCCTGGGAAAATGCAGAGCCATTAAAGGGGCAGACCCCTGACCCCAACAAATCTGCAGAAGACCCACCCATCACCCTCCTGGTCTTTTGGTGGATGGTCCCTAACGTCAGAAGGTCACCCTGAAATCC